TTATTTGGGCAAACAATTTATCGATTTTGTAGACTTTTGTGATAAAAATTGATAACTGTTTAGCCTCAATTATTTCTATTATTCATTCCTGCATTAGACCTTATTAGGCGTAATTTATTAATCAAAATCTCAATTTATTTTTATATTTCCCCCAAATTATGGGGGCATCCGTGAACCAGAGTATAAATAAATCTATTTTACAATTATTGAGGTTTTAATGTGATTTGTATTTACTTAGGAAGCCTTTGTCTGTTACAGCAATCAATTTGAGTTGTCTGATTAATGATCCATTGTTTCTATGTGGCTCATGTTAAAAACATAACAATAACCTTATTATTTAATAATTACAAAATCCATGCATTTAATTTTGTTGAAATAGAATATCAGGTTTGATTTGGCGTATCAACCTTCTCTACTTGTTTAGTTGTTTATGAACCTAGCATTCGAATTTTAAAACCTGATGTAGAAAAGTCAACTATTTAAAAAATTAAGTAGTCAACCCCACACTCTTCAAATTTCCCTATAAATTCATTTAGAGTAAAGCTATTTTAACATAATGGAATAAAAAAAAAAAAAGATTAAAAATGATATGGATGTATAATGACGGTTTATTTTAAAGGTAACATGACGTATAAAATCATATTATGATTGTAAGTCTTGTAACACGTGTTATTATGTAAAACTTTATGTTATTAATATGTCAATATACATTTATTGATTTCACAAATAAAAATGATCCAATTTTGATTAGATGGTCACTAAAACAAGTATAGCTATTTCCAGTCAGGAAAAGTCTATCTCCAGAGGTGCAACTCGTCCCCCTCGTCTTCCTCGACCTCCGAACCAAAACCGGACCTCAATTTCCCGCCTAAATCGTCAAAACCGACGACCCTATCCCTTTTCGACGACGCCAGCCTGGACTTGGGCCTCGTGGGTCCACTCCACGCCACGTCATCACCTTCCAACTACCAAAGCGTGTGCACGCTCGATAAAGTGAAGTTGGCGCTCGAGAGGGCCGAGAAGGAGATTGTAGTTAGGAAGCGCTCGATTTCCGTATCAAAGTCAAAGTCCAAGTCAAAGTCAAAGTCGTCATCGGCTACTCGGTCGACCTCGTCATCATCCGTCGATCTCGATCGTGAGCAAAAATCGACGGCCTCGTTTGCGGCAGGTTGCCCGAGTTGCTTGCTTTATGTACTCGTCTCGAGGAGTAACCCTAAGTGCCCGAGATGCAACAACGAGGTGCCATTGCCGGGCTCGGTTAAGAAGCCGAGAATCGATCTTAATATGTCGATTTGAGGAAGATTAAATTTTTATTTAGGTGGTTCTTAAATTTTCTGAAGTTTTGTAAAGATAGAAAAAAAAAATAGGAACAGGGGTTATAAAAGTTAAGGGGAATTAATGGTATATATCAATGATCTTTTGAGTATGGAAAGGCTTAAATTTGATCTATTTTGTAATTTGTTGTAGTGATGTTTAGTTTATCTAATTAGCTCGATTAATGAACTCTAGACTAGGAATATATTCTGCAGCAATCCGCCTAACTATTAGATCGTCTCAACGAGATATTTGTGATGTTGTTTGTGATGTTACCAGTCCTGTTAATTTAAACGAGTTTGGTTCGACTCGGATTGAACTCAGGTCGCTAAACCTCGAGTTAGGCTCTCCAACGAGCCGAGCTCAAATCGGCTCGATAAAGTTCGATAAGATAATTTTTATATAATTTTCTATAATTTGGCTCATTAAAGCTCGAGATTGACTCGTTAAAGCTCGAACTCGGCTCGTTATTAATGATAAACGAGCCGAGCGCGAGCTCGATTTCAGACTCGTTTTTAACGAGTCAAGCTTGGCTCGTCTCGTTAAGGGGTCGAGCTCGATTCGATTCGTTTAAATGCCTACATGTTACACACCAAACAAATGAAAGATTGTCAATCAATGAATAAACAAATACTTAACTGTTACAGTCTCAATTATAGCTACTTGTGATGTTACATACCGAACAATAAAAAATTGCCAATCAATGAATAAACAAATAGGGTAAAATTAAATGAATAATTAAATAAATTAGTACATGAAAAATATAAATGCACCTGAAAGTTTTTCTGCCAAATGGGAGATCTATGTAAATGCTGTATGGTTGGATCATGAGGCAAAAAATTACTGCAACCACACTAGATTGCTTCATTTATGCACCTAACCAATAATAAATGAGAATTATTAATTTCCTGCTGCCATCTTTGAATTAATATTATACACCTACTTTTTTCTTGCAGAAGAGTTCAAGTTTTGTTATGTTAATTGGAGTTAGTAATTATTGCAGTTTGCTTGAATATGCTTCCTTGTGGGATTTGGAGAGGACTTTTAAGATCAAACTACTAATTTTGTTGCATTGCAATTTAATATGGTCTGGCTGATATTCAGCTTATTTAATTTCACACGTTGTCTAGTCTAATGAAGAGTTTATTTTTTCTTTTCTTATATAGTCTGACTTCCTTTTCAACTCTTTAAGGGGTGATACCATGTTCACAAATTATTTATTTTTTACTTCCTTTTTCAATTCTTTTAAGAGTTGATATGATTTTCAGATTTGAAAAAATTCTTGGATGAGCAACCAAACAGTTAGAACTTAGAAGGGTCGAGCTGTTAATTGTTATAGTACTAGTGAACAATAATATATACTCGTACATTCGAATGCAGGGTCGAGTTGTTAATTGTTATAGTACTAGTGAACAATAATATATACTCGTACATTCGAATGCCATATATATTGACAGAAACGGGGGAAAATGGGTGCTGACCCATTACCATGAAAGACCATGAAAGAAGGGAAAAGCCCATATGAAGCCCAAATGGGGTTCTATCCCAAAACCAATTGGTGGAAGGAGGAGTAGCCAATTAGTCTTATAAGGTGGGTCTATTTTCGATATATGAACGATGTGGGACAACTCAAAAGTGATATTCTAACATATATGTTTTTGTTGTTTTCTAAAACATCATATTTTATAATGAAAGTATACATATTTATAAGAAATGTATGTCGATCTAACCAATGTATGTCTAATTTTATTATTTTGACAAACTAAGGTAAACCATGTGTGTTTTCAATATTTATTACTTTATATGTTTCTTGTTTGTTGTTTGTTGTGCATTTAATTATGGTAATTTCATAATTATAATATGTGTACTTTTATTTATTTAATTTTATTATATAAAAAATAAATTTTTACGCACTTGTATGATGTACGGGTATATATTGTACTATTATATTTTAATACCAAAACTTATTTAGGAAGTAGAGTCCGTAAGATTTTATTTGGACTAATCAATATTTATTTTCTTGTTAATGAACGTAAAATATTGAAAATGACAATATAACATAATCTTGAGTATACCACATGAAATAGTTTTCTTGAAAATATTAAGAAACTAATGTATTAATATCAGAGAATGGCTTGTATTCGTGCAGTTTGGGTGTCAGTAAGGTACGACGAATTATAATCACATAAATCCTGCAGCAGTAGTCTTAAAAAAATGCAACTGTGCATAAATATCTCATTTTTATTTAATTTTTATGCTTTATTTTTATATTTTTTTAGTACACGGAAATGAAAGTCCTATGTATAAATGTAAATAATGTACTTTCTCCCTGCACAAAGTAAAACTTAGACAAATGATATAAAATTCAAGTCATACATTAAACAGACTCTATCTATATATCCAAAGTGATTTGTTCCATATTTTATATAGTTTAAGAAAATATTTCTTATTGCTTCTTCATTTTTACACCTAATCTAGAAATGTTTTAAATATGTACCACACAATGTTTTCTGTTTTGGTTCTAAATTAGAGGTGTTATTTGAGCCGAATGGAGATGAGCACCTCATGTTTAGTTCGTTCTTATATAACTAGTATGGGTTTTAAATATAAACAATTAATTTCATATTATTCAATATTAATTTATTAATTATTTTATTTATCAATCATTACTGGAGATTTATTTGTCTGGTATTCTATCAATGATCTAAGAGATCTAAAACTATTAATTTAAAATTCTAGTTTATATAATTCTAGACGCATAAGATTGGTCAATTATTAATTCGTGATATGAAAGATAAAATTTATCAATTTAGAACTCGAATGATTTAAAAATTAGTTGAAATCCTTAAAAGGTAAATATTTTTACATTTTTTATTTCTAAGTTTAATATTTTTTTTTTAATAATTGATATGACATACAAAAATGTGTTCATATTTACCATAACTTTTAAGATTTTATTTATGGTTTGATTTTTTTATTTATAATTGTCCAATTATATTTAAAATATCATTTATTGGTTTAAACTATTTCGAGCGCTGAATCGATAAATTTATTCTTTCAGGCATATAAATTTAACAAAAATTAATACTTAAGTGAAATAAAAGATCATAATATAAGTTAATGAATCCAAACACTTACATTCTAGTTTTATTTCTTAATAAAAATATGTAAATTAATGTTAAATAAATAATTCATAAGTTAATTTAATATAGGGTATGAAAAAAATAATGATGTAAGTTATTCATTTAATTTACACCGTTAAAACTGGTATCAAAATGTTCAAATTTCAGCAATTGTCAAATTTAGTTTTATTTATTGTTATTCTTATAACCACACAAAATAGTATCTCAGTTTTGTCAGTACAAAAGCATAATTCCTAACACTACGAAACCAATTTTGTGTTATAGCTATTTAAAATTAAAATGAAATATATATAATAAAGTATGCTACTCTTATAAAATAATATATATATATATATAAAATTAAAATGGTTCACACACACACACACACATTAGTTCTAGAATAAATAATTGAAAGCAGTATATATCCACCTAAACTATTTATAAGGATTATAATTTAATTTGCCTCCTTCATGAAGCTAATTTGGCATTTACTCCATCCATTCATTATATACCTAACTTACATTGAATTCAATAATAATTATAGTTCATCTTACACACCCTTTAAAATACCACAACAACCATTTCTGATGAAAGCAATGTTAAATAATTTTCATTTATTACCCCTTTTAACATAAATATCAGTTCAATATTTGGGTCAGGTAGGCTTGTAGACTGTGTCAGTTTATTGATTGAAAATGTTTCTCATTTTCCTGTACATTGAAGTTTTTTACCTTTTGTCGGGGTGAAATATATCCAAAAAATTAATTTACTATGCAATAATAGATTACTAAATATATTTTCATAAAAATTTAATGGTTGTTTTAATTGATATCTCCATATTATAACTTTCATTGGAATATTCCAATGGTAATTCAGATGATTTTTTTTTTATTATTTTTTTTNCTGCAGTTTTTTTTTCATAGTTGGAATTATTGGAAGAATAATTAATTATAATAGAAAAATAATAAAATTTACAACAATAAATCCATTGAAAAAATATTGTTGATCAACTTTCAAGTTTTCAATTGAATTTCAAGAGAGAGTTTAATTCTTACGTAAAATTCTGATATGGATCTCCGTTAAACTTTTAACGAAAGTTATAACATTAGAAAATTCGTAAATTTATATTGAAATATTTTTTAATTTGACCTTTTCATTAGAATTTGACATTTTTTAAGCGAATCTTCAAGGTACTTATTGATTATATTAGGGATAACAACGAACATGATCCCTGATTATATTAGCTGTGATTAACAAAGCAGGAAAATTAAATATGATAACTATTAATTAAAAATTGTTCGGACATTTAAAACCTATCAAACTTATATTAACTAAACATTTTGCTCAAAAAAAAAATAAAAATAAATAAATAAGCAAATACACGTGCAAAATGTGTCTTATTTTGTTCGTCTAACTACAGATTTGTGACTTGAGACAAAAACTAAACAACGTTTTCTACGTGTAGGACCATATGTATGTTGATGAGCCACACAATTTTGAATGCGCCCAATTTTGAATTAGGACAAGTTTAAGAGATTATATGGGTTTAATCATTTAAAACCTAGTCCTTTTGTTTGCTATGATGGATAAGACAGGATAACTGCCACTATAATCATTGTCATGATCAGAAAAAACTGATGAACCGTTAAATCAGAAATTGGTTTTGAACTAAGATCGGGCCAAATAAAACCCATCTGACCCGGTTAAAATCGATAATAAACAACCACATGGTTTGAAATTGTAACCCGAGTTTACTCTCAAATTGATAGATTTGGCTCAGTTGATTCTCATTTCTCCTTTAATTTCATAAAAATATTTCAACTAATTAACTACTGTTTTCATTATATTCAACCTTTAAAA